TGAAAATCTGAGAGTACTGAAAAGAAAATAAACTTTATTTATTTATTTATTCAATTGTTTGTCATCTGAGTCATAAATACTAGGTGAAATCAGAGAAGGTAGAAGGTGTCGCTGGTGGCTTACTTAGTTTGGTGTGTTTCTTCAGAGGGAAGAGCTAGGATGATTTGTCCTACCAAAACTTCCACAAGGTCACATTGATTCCCCTTAGGAATCACGAGAAGAGTGGATTTATTTATTTACAAAAATATACCAGATTTTTACCATCAACAATTATTGTAACACAATCAAAAGAGTATTTCTTGTCTTATTCTTAAACAATAGAGACAGAAATGTGTCATTTATTTTACTTTTAATGTTTTCTCTTGTGAATACTTGTGAGTTTCTTGCCCTCTGATTGTAGCAAACACTTCTTTATTTTGATTGCTGTTATCTCTAATTTTCCTGACTCACTACTTTCCTGACTTTCATGACTGTAGTAGTTCTTCCTGAATGTACAATTTCATGTACAATTTTAATTGATTCTAATATTTTTGCGTTTTCAACTAGAGAGAGAGGTTCAACAACCCATGCTCCTAGGAGCCAGGCAGGTAAAACAAATGCCCGCAGCAGCTGAGAATATGAAAATAAAGATCAAACCACTTGTATTTCAGCAAAACTCAATCTATACCCTGCTCTTAGTGCTTCACAAAGACAGGGAATATTTCTGTTTTGTTTGCTGTTTTGTCTTTACCAACAATCGTAAGGCCTTGTATAGTCAATGATTCTGGCAAATGACTGAATATATTTGTTACGATAGGGGACTTTATTCCTATAGCTTCTAATGTTTTTCTTTTAGAAAGTAGTTCACTATGAACATTACTAAATCCAAAACTATCTATTATTGTTTGATGTTCAAACAAAACAAGAAGATACTTTGCATTATTTATTTTCATCAGTAGGAAATTTTCTTCCCTTGACTTCCCATAGCCATTTTCTCTAGTTTTCTCCTATATCTCAGCCTATCTCTGTGGCTATTCTTGTTAGATCTGATTTTTCTACCTGCCACTCTATGCATCTGCACCTAGTCATGATGCCATCGTCCCGACCATTTACTTCTATTTGGTTGACTTCATCAATTGTTGCAGCTTTAAGTACTATTGATCAATTATGCTCACAGTTTTGCTCTGCCTAGAAGTCCCACCTAAATACTAAAAGAAGTCTCAAGTTATTAAAGGAAACGTTGCCTTAGGAACGTTTTCCCACAGATGCCCCACAGATGTCATGTATTGGTGTTTACTCCACACTCTCATCCTGCCACTTAATTCCTGAATTCTTTTCACAATCTATCACTCCATGCACCTATGAGATCATTATAAATAATTAACATTGGCTTAAACACCTCAGATAGAGTGACCACAGCAAACACAATATATAATTTTTAATTTATTTTTATTTTTCATGATACAGTTCCTTAGGCTCAGGGATTTTTCTTTCCACCCTTCTCATCCCTCCTGCCCCCAACAAAATCAGTTATTTTACAGGTAAGCATTGAGTATATGCTAAATACTTAATTTTAGTTATGGTTCTTACATATACAAAGGCTTGCAAGTCAAATACTTTAAATCTTTTTTTTTCAATTTTTTTTTTTTTTTATTGGAAAGGCGGATATACAGAGAGGAGAGACAGAGAGGAAGATCTTCTGTCCGATGATTCACTCCCTAAGTGAGCGCAACGGCTGATGCTATGCCGATCCAAAGCCAGGAGCTTCCTCCAGGTCTCCCACGCAGGTGCAGGGTCGCAAAGCCTTGGGCCATCCTCAACTGCTTTCCCGGGCCACAAGCAGGGAGCTGGATGGGAAGCGGGGCTGCCGGGATTAGAACTGGAGCCCATATGGGATCCTGGGGCGTGCAAGGCGAGGACCTTTAACCACTGCGCCATTGCGCCGGGCCCAATGCTTTAATCTTTAATGGTAAAGTTGGGTGCTATGAGAAGATATAATGGGAAAATCTGCACCCATTTACAGAGTAAACAAAGCCTTTGTGAGTATGTAACAGAGTAGGCAAAGTAATCTGAAGAGGTGAGTGTGACTGTGGGAGATAACATGCCAAGCTGAAGGAGCAATAGATATGAAGACTCTGGTCCATGAAGAAGGGAGAGGACCCATGTAATATTAGGAACATTAATGTAGAGGAGGCTGGGCAATTTGTGGAAGTTTTATAAGTCATTTTCAGAAAATTTGTTGCTATTAAAGTAATAGTATAAGATATTAAAGAGTTTTCAGTGAAAAGATTAAGCCAATTTTGCATCCCAAGAGATGGTATCCTGTCCCCAATGTAAGTAAGTGAAAATCTTATATCTGTCCTACAATCAGCTATACCAATCAATTTGTGGACAGCTTTCTTCTCTGCCCAACGTCTCTGTACTTGTGCCCCAATCCTGAATGCCCTCCTATTTTTCTCTGCTTGGCTGATTTTTGTAATCCTTTGTGAATCTGAACATCACTAGGAAATGCTCTTTTTTTGTGTTTCTCTTATCCCCATCATTATGTCCAAGCTCACTTTTGACACTCTAAAGTGATCTTTATGTACTTCTGCTTCTTTCTATCCCACAGAGTATGAAATATGGATTTGCTTTTATTTCTCCCCTTCTTGACTGCAAACTGTTTTCGGGACAAAAACTATTTCATTTCTGTATTTTTCAGAGAATAGCAAGTGCTTAGTAAATTGATGTTGAACAAATGAATATATCACAAAATGCAATTCATCTATTATCTTAAGCAGTACTGTGCATCTGTTTCCTAATAAAGATTGTATATGCATATTAGATGTGCATACGGGAATATATGTGTATATTAGAATATTCTGAAATTAAAAATGGATAGGCATTAAAATTTAATAAATGTATGCATAAAAAAGATGGTGTTTCTTTCAGAGAAATCTGTGTTTACATTTTGACTTCAATCACTTTGTAACCGTTTTTGATATTCTGATTTGTGAGGAGTTGGTAGGCTTCAATTTATTTAACAGTGAAATAGAGATAATGAGAATTAAGATAGTTACATTGGGGCCTGGCATGGTAGCCTGGCAGGTAAAGTCCTTGCTTTGCATGCACTAGAACCCGTACGGGTGTTGTATCAGTTCTTATCCCTGCCCCCACACTATCCATCCAGCTCCCTGCTTGTGGCCTGGGAAAGCAGTAGAGGGACCTTGCACCCACATGGCACCCTGCACCTGAGTGGGAGACCTGGAAGAAAGTCCTGGCTCTTGGCTTCAGATCAGCTCAGCTCTGTCCATTGTGGCTATTTGGGGAGTGAATCATCAGACAGAAGATCTTCTGTCTCTTCTCCTCTCTATATCTGAGCTTCTAATTAAAAATAAAATAAATACTTAAACATATTTATTTACAAAAAGATAGTTATATTGACTTGGCTCAAATGATGGTAGAATCTGATAAGTTTCATGAACTTGAGTTGGCACGTTGAAGACACAAGAGAGAAAGCTGATGACTTGAGAACCAAAACATTCCATTCTGATGGCAGGCAAAGGACAGTGGCACAGGTTCATCAGTCATGAAGGCAGGAAGTGAGAAGATGGATCCTTCTGATTCTTTTTGTTGTGGTTTTATTAAAACTTCAGCAAGTTGGTTCAGGCCCACCTCAGTTGAAGAAGATTGTATGCAGAAAGAAGTGAGGTGGGGCCCACAGTCCAGGTCAGAGAAATAATCAAGGAAATTTCTTGCTAAAGTTGAAGGCCTAGATAGGTGTCACAGGCTATGAACAACCTGATAACAGAACATATTCTAACTTGTAGGGCGAGTGAAGGGCTTCTAGGATACAGCAAACAGAAGTCTTAAATTGATTCTGACTTCTCAGAATGGGACTGTAGCAGTAGTCACCCTATGGTTGGGGAAGACTTGAGGGTAATTGATGCCAGTGCTAACTTTTATTATAAGTCACAAACTCAAAGTATTAACAGTGTCTTTCTGAATCATTTGCAAAAAGATCAAGAGTTTCTTGGCAGGAATATTCATGGAACTATTTAGCAATCAGTATTTCAGGGTTCTGTGCAGGATTTCCGTTCCAGGCAGCCCATATGATAGCAACAATTTCACCCATAGTGGAACAGGTTGTTAGCACAGGAAGGTAAGATGAAGCTTGTGGAAGGAATTCAAAATGAATGAGGAGATTAGAGAAAGGGTGGTACAGATGTATAAAAAAGCGCTCATGTGTGTGCAGCCACCTAGGAACATGTGGAAGAGGTAAGAAGCTACTGACTGTGGAATGTGTTTTGAAAGTATGCTGTAAGAAATTGCCTGGCTAAAAAAAAGTGGGAGAAGAATACCACTGAATAAGATGTTAATAACAGCAAAGTCTTAGCCTGGAGTTAAAATTTCAAAATTACTTGAAGCTTTACAAAATATCATACTTCTTGCAGGTTAAGAACTAAGCCAACTGACTTGAAAATGAAGCATGATGAATAACTTTTAAAATGCTAGATTATTGTGATGAATTTCATCATGGTAACTTGAATGCTTTCATAACCTTCTGCTCTTCTTTTGTTTTTTGAAAGAGACTGAGAGATAGAGATAGAGAGAGAGAGAGAGAGAGAGAGAGAGAGAGAGAGAGAGAGAAAGTATTGCCATGCTCTGGATCACTTGACAAATGCCTACAGTACACTGGGATTGGGTCAGCCAAAAGGAGGAGCTGGATACTCAGGCTGAATCTCTCACATAGTCAGCAGGGATCCAGATACTTGAGCCATCACTCACAGTCTCCTAGGGTGAGCATTATAAGGAAGCTGGGATCATGAACAGAGCTGGGAAGCCAATTCAGGTTCTCAGATATTGAATGTGGTTCTCTCAAGCATTACCTTAGCTACTGTACCAAAACCACCCACATTTACTCTATTGAAAAAAAATGTCCATTTTTCATGATACAGTTCCTTAGGCTTAGGGATTTCCCCTTCAACCTCTTTCACACCCCACCACTGTTTTTCCTCATATTTTAGCAATGGTTTAGTCCCTCAACAATAGTCACAGGTCCATCATTCTGCTACTCAAGAGTATCCTGACATTGTAGGTATACACAGTTGTATAAAGCCCAGCATTCTAGCATCAAGATATATTTAATGGTTTCATTGGAGTCCCTCTCTCTCTCTCTCTCTCTCTCTCTATATATATATATATATATATGTAAATATGTATAGATATGCATACATATCTATACATACATATATATGTATATACATATGTGTATATGTACAAAACAATTTATTTGAAAGAGAATCAGAGAAGAAGAATAAGATGGTGAAAATGATGAGGAAGATGGTGAAGAGATAGAGAGAGAGATTGAGAGACTGAGATATCTTCCAAACACTGGAGTGAAAGAAAGAGATGAGATGCAAGAACCTATGTCAAGAAAGAAAGAGGGGGAGAGAAAGTTCTGTATACTGATTTACTTCCCGAACAGCCTCAGAGACCCAGGGCTGAGTCAAGCCAAAGCTATGAGCCAGGAACTCCATCTGTGTCTCTCATGGGGTGCAGGTGCCAAAGTTCTTGGGTCATATTTTGTTGCTTTCCCATGTGCACTGGAAGGGAGCTGGATCACTGTAGAACAGAAATGGAGCAGCTGAGACATGAATTGGCACCCACTTCAGATGTCAGCATTGTAGGCAGTAGCTCATCCTGCTATACCACAATACCACTGTCTGCATTTACTATTAAATACTTTTTTTTCTAGTTGTACTTTAAGTTAAAAATTGAAGGAGTTTCAAGCATGACAGTAAATTTTGTGTGTGTGTGTTATCTCTGATGAACTGAAGCTTAAATGGTAATGTTTTAGCTATATATGCATGCACATTTTGATGATCATCAATATGATTGTAGTTACGGTTATTTTTCTAACATAGGAATAAAATATTTATTTGTTTTATAATGCCTGATACTAAATTCTAGGATTCTGCTCATAGAAAATGAATCTGTTGGCCAATAGCATCCAGTGTATTTCTGTTTATAAAGGCATTTATTTAGCAAACTTCTTTTTGTAACTGCTGGTTTTGGAGAAAAAGGACCAGAATATTTGTTCTCCAAAATATAAGGTGTATCATAGGATCAAGCACATAGATGGTCGTAGAGAGATGATAAAGAAATTCATAGAATGCCACAGAAACTTTTAAGACAAAGTAATCCAGACTGGGATAAATGAAGAAGCCTAATTGGCTATCTATTGGGAGGCAATAATCTCTGTTCTGAGTTTTGAGGAGAAAGATAATTAGCTCAGAGACTATTTCAAAGAAATTAACATGGGCAAAGTAATGAAGGCTAGCTACAGGAAAATACATTTTATAAGTTATAAATATAGGGTATGGATGTCAGAGAGTTGAAATGACAGGAGTTGCAGGGAAAGATTTGAGGGGCACGTAAAAGATAGAATGTAAAAAAGCCTTTCAGATCATCTTAAAAACATTGAATTTATCCTGCAGTCAGAGATGGGTCTGAAATCTTTGGAGAGTGTTAATATGCAAAGATTTTTCTTTTAACTTGCAACTTTTAAAGGTACTACTGTGATAACACAACATTGCTAGAAGAATATGAGACTTGGAGCAATGCACATTGTAAAATAATCTGAATGCATGCATTTTTGATTAATAAAGCTGTGGAAATAAAGATGTAGAGTCAATAGACATTGTTCATGGTGAGGTAGGCAGCTAGTTCAGGGTCACGAGCTTGGAAGCCACTCTCCTACCACCACCCAGGTGATCCTTCCTGACACCTGTGATGTTCACCTATCATCACCTGGAATCTCAGAGGGGGCAGTATTGCATTATTGTCTAACCACTCCCCTCACAAGCCCCTATAAAGGCTCATGACAGGGAGGGGCTTGCTCTTTTGGTCCTGTGCCGTCTTCGCTCTGGCATTCTTGATCCTTGGCCTTCCCACTTTCTTGTTCTATGGCTTTCTATGCATAAACTCCGAGGACAGGTAACCCTTGAGCATGGCCCCTGTATGTTTATATTCCTCATCCTCTGTTTACTGCTTGGATGGGACAGTAAAGATAGTAATGCTAAGATGCTTTCTATTTCTAATTTGTGTACTTTTAAGAGTTCCAGGAGAGGTGAAGTCAAGCAGTAATGGAATGTGGGCAGAGAAGCCAGGGAAGTGTGAATGTCTGCAGTTTTGTAGGTGTGCCCAGGTCGTTTGCTGTATGTCTCTTAGGATAACTTATATTGTTGGGGAAGCTGGGACATAGGTCTTTAGCTTAACAGATGGACTCCAGAGTAATGACCATTTGTTTCTCTTGGGGTTTTGATCGACTGGATTGCCATATGGACTTGTGATTTGCTATTTCTTCTGGGTCCTGTTATTGTCAACCTTGATTAGTATAATAAAGACTCCTTAATAAAACCTAGACTTGTCTAATGTGATCTCACTCACAACCTGCAACAGGTTGGTTAGGTAAGTAAGGGGCATCAGGGTAAAAAATAGCTCACACTTTTTTTTTCTGGCACACAGTTTGGATTTAAGACGGTGTGATTTACTAAGAAAGTGAATTAAAAAAAAATTGATGTGGAAGTAGACAATGATGTTTAATTTTGAGAATATTGAGTAAAGTACAATTATTATATCCAAGTGAAAAAATACAGTAGAGATTTAAATGCTCCTTTTAAGCAATTAATAACCCAAATAAAATATAAGAAGCATGCTTTTCCAGATGCAATAGAACAATTCTTTCCCTGAGAAAGGATGAAATATGCCAATTGCCGCAGATTGATGACTAGACATTTCAGTAGAAGGAATCCCTTATGAGGCTTCGAAGCCGAAGGAACCCCTTATGAGGGAAGCTTGTGCAAGTTTTGAAACTGGAGAAAACACAAGTAAGAATTTGGTGAGGTCAAGCTAATTTGATCTAACAAAGCAGAGTCCTGAGGAAGGTGGAGCATGGGGTGTGTTTTCTCAACGAAAATCTTCAAAGTGTCTTCAGTTTTTTTTAGCTGGATACTAATCATAGCACTCATTGGAGATCTATTGTGATGAGGAAAACACCACCTTGAAGGAGCAAAGGGGACAGTTGGTAGAACTAATCCAAGCTAAGGAAAGTTAACTAGTTCTACTTGTCTTAGAGTTATTCAGTAGCACATCGTTTAACTTCATGGTGTTGTTAATTTCTTTTTTTTTTTCTTCCTGTTGTTGATTTTGTTTTGTGGCTTTTCATTTAAGAGGATGTATAGTAATTGTGTAATTGAAACTATCATATCTAGCAGCATGTAATTCAACTTCATGGCACTGTAAATTTCTATTTTTCTTTATACTGTTGATTTTGTATTGTGGTTTTTACATTTAAGGGGATGTATAGTAATTGTGTAATGGAAACTATCATATCCAGATGTGAGGATACAAAGCAGTATGCATCTCTACTTCCAGCCAAAGATGGACTCCTAATGAAACCATTTACTATATCTTGACAATAGGATGCTGGACACTCTGCCTTTGTTTGTGCCCGCAATGATGGACATATGACTGTGTATGAAGAACTATACTATAGTAATAATATAGGGGAACTCAGTGAGGGAGGAGAGAATTAGGGAGGGGATAAGGAAAATTCCAGGTCCTATGGAAATGTATCATAAAATGACAATAATAAAGAGAAGTAAAATAATAAAAAATGAATCTTTAAAAAATAAATAAAATATATAAAACAATAGGATATTAGTTGTGTAATAAAAATAAGTATTGTTTAATTATATATATATTTCATAATATTTTACTTGAAGATAAATTGTGATTAAAGATATATGAGTCAAGCCCCAATATAAGCAAAATGAGTTCCACACAATAAATCAATGAAAGGAAGACAATTTCCCTCTTTCTAAAAGATTTATTTTCTTTACTTGAAATACAATGTTACAGAGAGGAAGACAGAAAGAAAGATCTCCCATTCTTGTTCGCTCCCCTAATGGTATTCCCTATTAAGGCTGAGCCAGACTGAAGGCAGGAGGCAGGAGTTACTGCTAGGTCCTCCGTGAGATGCAGGGTCCTAGGCACTTGGACCACTCTGCTCTTTTTCCTTGGCATATTAGCAGGCAATTGGATCAGAAGCGGAGCAGCTGGTGCTACTATGGGATATTAGCACTGCAGGCTATGTCAGTTTTATGATATAAGCCTGCCAACATGAAGTCAGTTTTATGAAGCATATTCACTAACATCTAAGACCCGAAGAAATAATTTACCAAATGTTGTCATGAAATAGTTAATGTACTATGTAAGTATAACATTTGAGAGAATCTGACTTAATGTATTTTCAACTATCTTGATCTCATGCTGTATTTAATAAATGTTTTCCAATGTAATATTTGCTCTACCAGTTCATTTCATATCTCTTTTGTACTTTTTATGAAACTATATGTAAGCTAAAAAGCACTGAATAACAATGGGGAGAGAGTAGTGTATTTAGCACATTCTTTGACCTACAGCACTGGAACAAAGGCTTTTGAAACAAAGACTTCTCCCTTGCCCCCTACAGTGCATTTAACTGTTCTTAGTTCTGCTGTTCGCTGTTTGTACAGGACCTCATAATCCTAGTATATAATGTTGTGCAAGGTTAGATTTGCTATGCTTTTGCTTCTCCTAAGCAATACTGTGATTGGCTAACCAAATTGCCTGATGGCTGACTATAATCAAACAGAATAACAGAGAAAGAGTACTTTTGATTTTTGAATATGATGTTAATCTTTGGCAAACGTACTTCAGATTGAGCACAGGTTAGTAATTTATTGTATCATAGACACATAAAACTAATGTGTGGTATTTGGATTATAGGCCCAGATTCACCAGTATTTATTATTGTAGGAATCCAAGAAAGTCATCTCAGCTCATCATTTTAATGTGTCTATATCTATGTGCAAAATTGAAAATAAGCAAGTCTAACTGTACAAAGAATTTAGAATCTCAATGAAAGTCTTCCTCATTTCCAGTGTCAGTCCTTCCTTTGCCTTATTTGTGCTTCATTCCTAATTTAATCGCCCTTCCGGAGTTGCTGTTTTACTCTTGTCCTCTCTTGAGAAAACTGAAAAGGTGAACAATTTTTTTCTTTGTGTCCTCAGAAACAAAGCACAATGTACTTTACTTGCTCAAATGATGAATAAATACAATTAGAATCATGGGATCCAGTAATTATTGTCACTCTCAATGTCTCTAGCATTAATCAACATGAGGAATGATAGATCTAATCAATGTCGGAAAATTTTCTGATTTGTTTGCATTACCGAAATCAGTTCTTACTCTATTTCATGTAAAACAGCACCGAGATTACACCCTTAAAGATCTATAGAAGTGCATTTGATTAACTGATTCCATGACTAAGAGGAAATTAGCAAATGGTTTGATTTTCTTTATTGTTTATTTCCTAAACACTGGAAATCTATTTTACATGGCTAAAAAGGCACCGTTTTTTTGAGATAATGTATCTCAGATGGCAATTGTTAGTTTTCCTCAAAAATAAATGCCTTCATAGTTGTAAGTTGTTTTCAAATGGGTTAGAGTGTGCGGCACTAGCAAAACCTCGGCTTGACCTCTCTTAACCCCGGGAATCCTCTTGGTCACTGGGTACTTGCTAGGTTCCAGAGAGACATCACAATACAGCACACCATTTTCTTGTCTCCAATCATAAACATTTTGTATTTTCCAATGCTTTCACAATATAAAATACTCACTCATCTACTTCTTCAGATATTTGTAACTGATATAAAACTTGTAGATATTTATGTCTGGGACACCACATGGTGCCTTAATGTATAAGTTTTCTAATGTACAAATCAGGGCAAATATCCGTCTCCTAAAATGATTATCGTCATTTCATGATGAAATCTCTAAAAACTATTGATAGTCACACTACTATGCAACAGAGTTCTAGAACATCTTTCTCCTAGTTATAATGTAGTGCCCATTGGTCAACACATTCCTACGCCTTCCATCTTCAGCCTCTCATAATCTACACTGTGTTTTTAGTTTCTATTAGATCAATGCTTTCAAGTAGTGAATATAAGCTTATATGGTGTTGTCTTTCTAGTATTTGGTTTATTTCAATAACGTAATGACCTCCAATTTCACTTATGTTGCTCCAAATGAAAAAATTTGCTCTTTTATGAAGATGATTTTTTTTTCCATTGAGTATATTCAGTACATTTTCATGATCAATGGATGGATTTTATGGTTGTTTCCATTTCTTGAGTATGGTGAAGAGTGCTGCAATAAACATGAGACATAAACATAAATAGAAATGTTATAAATAAACATAGATATCTCTTTGACAGAATGATTTAATTTCCCTTAGGTCTATGCCCAGTAGTGAGATTGCTAGATTATATTGTACTTTTATTTTCAGTTTTTGAGGAACTTGCATACTACTTTTCATAATTGTTGTACTCATTTACATTATACACCAATAGTGTGAAACTATTCCCCTTTGTCCACATCCTCACCAGCATTTACTCTGTTTTTCCACTTGGGAAAACCACTTGGACCATATTCTGATGTTTCTCAAGGCATGTTAGCATGGAGCTGGATGCAAAGTGGAGCAGATAGATCTTGAACTGATGCCGCTGCTGCAAGTTGTGGCTTGGCACATTACCTCACAACATTGGCACCTGTTTTATGTTTTTGGTAATACTCATTTTTAGGAAAGATTTATTCATTCTCGCTCGAAAGACTTATATAGAGAAAAGGAGAAGCAGACAGATTTTCCATCTCCTGGTTCACTCACCGAAGGGCCATAACTGCCAGAGCTGGGCCAAACAAAATTCAAGAACCAGGAGCTTCATCTGCATCTCCCATATGTGTGTAGGATTCCAAGAACTTGGGTCATCTTGCACTGCTTTCCCAGGCACATTAGCAGGGAGCTGGATCAGATGCAGAGTATCCATTTCACATACCATTGCCCTAGGAGCATGCTGGCAGCACAAAGGCTCATCCCACATGCCACAGTGCTGACCTCTGCTAACAGCCTTGCTGACTGAAGTGACTTTATGGTTTCAATCTTCATTTCTTTGTTGATTCGTGATGAGCATTTTTTCAAGTACTCTTGACTGTTTGTATATATTCTTTTCACAAACCTGCATTTAATCTATCGCTAATTGAAAGATTCGACTATTTGCTTATTCTGTATTGAATTTAAAATTTTCTCACTTATGCTTATTATTAGCCATTTATAAGATGTATAGTTTCCAAATATTTTCACCAATCCCATCGGCTGTCACCCTGGTGTGTTGATTATTTCTTTTGCAGCATAAGAATTTCTAAGTTTGATTTTTACTTTTTTTTTCCCTATTTCTTGATGCCACCCACTTGGGAGATCCTGATGCAGTTCTTGGCTCCTGGATTTGACCTAATGCAGTCTCAGCTGTGCATCGGAGCCGTGAACCAGCAGGGGAGATATCTTTTACTGTCTCTCCTGCTTTCTTTTTCCTTTCCTCTCCTTACCTCCCACTCTGTCATTTAAATAAAAAGGATAGGGTCATAGTTTGTTTAGGTACAAAACTGAAAGCATCATTTTAAGTTTTTCATATTTTTCCATGGGCTGTTTTTAATAGCAGATAGTACATGTATATTTTAAGAGCTACAATGCAGTATTTAAACACAGGTATACATCTTGAACACATCTGATTTGACATTTCTATTTCTTTACCTTTTCTTTATGTTTGAAGCCTATAAGCTCCTCCTTTGCAGACCTTTAAATACCATATAATACCTCACTGTAAACTATAGCTGCCATGCTGTGCTTGGAATGCTGGAACTTATTACTCATATGAAAATGTTCAGTACTGTTATTCAGCTTTCCTCTCTCTCTAATTTCCCCACACTTTTGAAAACTCTGGAAATCACTGTGCTAAATATAGATCACCATTTTTTTTTTTTAAAGAAGCTTCCACTTATGAGGAAGAATTAGTGCAATTTGTCTTGTGTCTGGCTCATTTCACATAATGTAATGACCTCTGGTCCCATTCTTTTGCTACATATACCAGTATTTCAGTCTTTGTGACTGCATATACAACATTTGTGTGTGTACCATACTTCTTTGATAAACTCATCCATGGATGCACCTCTTAATTGCTTCCAAATCTTGGCTACTGCAAATAGGGCTACAGTCAGTGGCCATGGGAGTGAAGGTCTCTCTTAAACATGCTTATTTTATTGCTTTTGAATGTACATCTAGTTGTAGGATAGCTGGATCACTTCTCTTCACCAAACTTAAACCTAAACCTAACCCTAACTAAACCAGGTTGTCTATCCATGTATAAAACAGATCAGCAATGTTTTAAAAGCAGAAAGTTGCATTTTAACTCAAATTGCTTTACTTTTTCTTCGTTGATTATGTCTTTTTTAACTGACGTGGAGTATCTCATTGTAGTTTTTATTTTATTTTATATTTTGGCCATCAACTTGTTACTTTTAGACATGTTTATATTCTTTTCTCAATTTTTTTTTGTTATTTAGTTTCCTTAGTTCCTTTGATGTTCTGGATACTAATCCTCCCTCAAGTAATGGTCTACAAATATTTTCTTCCATTTTGTTAGCCATCTATTCACTGAGCTGAGTGTCTCCTTTGCTGTGCAGATCAACAGCAGAGCAGCTGAGACTGAAGCCAGCCTTCTGACGTGGGCTGGAGGCACCCGTGGTGACATGTTTGTTAGCTGTGCCACAAGATCCAGCCCACTATGCATATATACTTACACGTACTATTTTTTTTTTTTCTGCAGAATTGACCACTTTATTTTCTGGGTATCTGTTCAACATCTTTCATTCTTGGTTGTTTTATCTAACCTAAGAATTAACACACACACACACACACACACACACACACTTTTAGTTGAGTTCCATTCCCACGGAATATTTTGCTATCTCTCATTCTTGGTTATTTTATCTAATTTAAGCATTAACACACATTTTATTTGAGTTCCATTTCCACAGAATATTTCTTTTTCTTTTCCTTAAAGATTTTATTTATTTATTCATTTATTTTTTGTTGGAAAGATGGATATACAGAGAGGAGAGACAGAGAGGAAGATCTTCCGTCCAATGGTTCACTCCCCAAGCAGCTGCAACGGCTGGTGCTGAGCCAATTCGAAGCCAGGAACCTTCTCTGGGTCTCCCACACAGGTGCAGGGTCCCAAAGTCTTGGGATGTCCTCAACTGCATTCCCAGGCCGCAGTCAGGGAGCTAGATGGGAAGCGGGGCTGCCGGGATTAGAACCAGTGCTCATATGGGATCCTGGGGCACGTTCAAAGCGAGGATCTTAACTGCCATGCTATTGCACCGGGCCCTGCACAGAATATTTCATCCCTATCTTCACTTTCAGTTCATACCTAAGCAAGTTGTGTTTATTTATTCAGTCATTCTGCATTTATTGTTCAGAAAATTTAATCTATTTACATTTAAGATCATTATTGATAGGTAAATGCTTATTTTCGGCAGTCAGATATGTTTTATAGGTTTATTGTAATTCCCTTATTTTTCTAGAGTCTTTTTTTATGTTTAAGTAATATTATTTTCATAATATATTTGATTTCTTGCTTATAATTTTTATTTAGTTTCCAGCTTAAAATGTTTGGCTGATTTCCGGCTTAAAAGTTTTTGTTTATTTGTAGTAAATTTTTGCTGTGTGGTTGAAAGAAGGCTTAGCAAAAACATGCTTTGTTTGTAACAAGCTAATTTAAAATGATGGTTATTTAGCATTGGTCAGAGAGATGAGATAAAATGCAAAAGAGGGGATAAATAATGCTAATGTGGACCTCTACACTTGTGTTCCATTTTTTCCACACATTTTTAATCTTGGGTATCTCATTTTTGTACTTTTTTGTTGTGTTTCTTTTAACATAGCAATGTAGTTAAGTCTCTTTGTTTTCAGTACTAATACCTAAGGCACTTAAAGAAATCAAGTAAAACAAACTTAGCAGAGAAGCATGGAAGTTAGTGGCCCCACCTCGTTTGTGCTTCTGACACTATCTGTTGTTACTATTTTCTCCACTCAGTGCCCGCTTTGTCTGCAAATCTCATTTTATAGTTGCATTCTTTTAAAATGTTGATCCTATTATTCAGAATTTATTGTTTTTCTTACTCCTACCATTCCTAAACTCAGCAGAGTATCCTTAGTCCCTGTTTCATAGAGAAATTAGAAGTCTTTGAACAGAAATGTGTAACTGTTTCCGTCAACCCCAAGGATCCTCTCACATAGGCACACACTGCTCTTCTCCTAGACTAGTTCCTTGTATTTTCTTTTCTGTTTAATAAGGAAGATTCTTTAATCCTTATTTCTGATAATTTCTCTTTTACTTTCCTTCTTTGTCAGCTCTGTCCTATCAGGATTTAAATTATTTCAAGTCTTCTATCTATCTATCTATCTATCTATCTATCTATCTATCTAATCTAACCACCATCTATATTTCACACACAGGTACATACATATCAATATTTCGCATTCTGTCTAGTTTATAATCTACTTAGTATAGAATCTTTCAAATTTTATGTGTTCCTGTTATTTATTTTATATTTTCATGTTCGTTTTGCTCCTCAATATGCCGAATTTTTTTCCAGTTTAACTAATTCTGTAATTACAACTCTTTCAGGAAAATAAGTAAGGTCTGCCACCTAGAAAAATCTTGTGACTATCATTCAGGATTCATTTGTCTCCTAGTGATTCCTGGAATTGTAGATCACATTTGTAGTTTTGCAGAAACTCTCTTCCCTGGCTCCACACTTAATTTTATCTCCCGATTCTCCATTGAATCCTTCATATTAGGTTTCCAGCCTCCTATACATTTTTATTTTCCTCAAGTGATTTGTCTCAGAACTGAGACAATGGTTTTGTTTCCCTCTCATTGTTGAGCATTCCCTGGATAGCCTTACTCAGTCTAACCTTGAAATGTCACTTGTTTATAACACCTCAGTGCATATCTCACGTCTCTTCTCTGAGTGTCCTTTGGTATCAAGCAATCATTTGGAGAACTCCATTTGACTTTCTCAAACAACAAACTCAATGTGCATCCCAAAGTGCTATTGCTTTTCCTCCCAATGTGTTCATTTTCTCAACAATATAAGCATGCCACAGTCCTTGATAGGGCTCATATACATGGCACACAGTATACAACTTATATTAACAAGAGATGTATTTATAAGTTTATTTAATGTGCTTTACATGACATGGGAACTTCAGAAATAAGGCTCAAAGATATAGTGTATATTGTGTTTTTATAGGTAATCATGCAGAGGCATAATCAGAAAACAAAAAAGTCTGATCTCTTGGTTAAAAACTGGGAATCAGTTAACAAGGCCTGTTTGTTCAGATGATGGCCCTTGTGTTTTCAGAGAAAAGCAGCTCTTTTCCTGTGGACATAAGATGTACATCTCTGGAATGGTTTCCAAAGACAAAAAAATCAAACAGGTTTTAAAGTAATCTATCCAGAAAAGGAGGTTGAGGGGTGAAAGAGAGAGAAAGAGAAAGAAGAACAAGAAGAGGAAGAAGAAGAAGAAGGAAAGAAGAAGAAGAAGATGACAATAGTGAGAGAGAGCTGTCACTTCCACCTGTTGATTTGTTCCCCAAATATCCACACCAGGTAGGACTGGACTTAACTAGAGCCAGGAGTCTGAAAGCCTGAATTTCAATCTGTGAGTAGCAATGACTGAGTCATGAAAGTTATCACTTACTGCCTCCCAGGTTATACATCGGCAGCAAACTGGAGTGACGAGCAGAGCCAAGGATTTTGACACCAGATGTCCCATGTGGTGACTTAATCCATTCAATGAAATTACCACCTCAGAGAATTATTTCATTTCCTGGCTTGGTGAGGAGAAGGTGGTGAGAGAGACCTTTGTATTCCTGCTGTTTTCTCAAATTCCAAGGCATTTTACTGGGGAGAAGCATGCCATGGCTTCTATCAAAAGTTTGTGAATCAATGAATGTGTGTGTGTGAACAAAAAATTCAGTTTATACTGTCCAAGTTTTACTGTCTGAAGTCATTCCCACAGCTATTATGAAATCTTTATGTCCAGTGTGGTTTTTAAAAATTTCCTTCAGATCTATATAACATTGTTTTTTGCTCACGTTTTTGTATTTCTTGAAATTCAAATTTGATCTAAAATTTCACCAATTTTATCATAGACTTGCTCTCCTGAATGCTTATTTTCAACTGTTGTGATTCTTGGTTCTTTTTTGAATAGAGTCAGTTCAAATAGGAAACTCAGGTCTTTTTACATTCTTCAAGAAAACTTACCTGTAATGGTGAGAGGGAAATTTTGTTGACAAAAGGAATAAGAGGAGATGGAAGGAGCTAAGGGGAGTTTTATATACCAGCAGAGCAAGCAGCTTCCCATAGAAAACTTCTGTTCCTGCAGTCTGACTAGCCCATTTCAGAGATTCTTTTACCCCACCCCCCTTCTGCACTCCCTCCATCTTTATCGTTTCTCATTCTCTCTTGTGTAAAAGGAATTCTATTTATTTTTATTACAAAGTCAGGTATATAGAGAGGCGGAGAGACAGAGAAGAAGATCTTCTATCTGATAATTCATTCCCCAAGTGACCACAACAGCTAGTGCTGTGCTGATACGGAGCCAGGAGCCAGGAACTTTCCCCAGGTCTCCCATGCGGGTACAGGGTCCCAAGGCTTTGGGCATTCTCGACTACTTTCCCAGGCCGCAGGCAGAGAGCTGGATGGGAAGTGGGGAGCTGCCTGGATTAGAACTTGTGCTCATTTGGTATCCTGGCACATTCAAGGCAAGGACTTTAGCAGCTAGCCTATTGCACTGGGCTCCAAGGCAATTTTCTTCCGTCTTGCACAAAGCAATTAAACTTATCTCAGATGTTTTAGCTTTTGTCTCATGCTGTCTAATCCATACCAGTAAGCCCTCAATTTATTGCAATATTTTATCTGTCAAAGGCAATTTCTTTTTAAAAATAATACCATTCTTGCCAGTAGGGGAGCTGCATGAGGCTTCCCTGCTGGACCACCACTCCTACTGGAAAGCGTGAGTTGGAATGGGACAGACCATACTGGACAGGGTTACAAAATCTGCTTGTCTCATGAGAGCTGGATTAGGGAGAGGCCAGGCTGGGTTGGCTGCTCCTTCTGGTGCATGCATCAAGTCAGAATGGGTGTGGGTTGGTTAGACTTTGCTATAGCACCAGTTGGCAAATGCTGCCATAGGGGCTAATTCTGTCAAGCCAAACTGCAGAACCACATGGAGAGTAAAAGATCCAGGATTGGAAGTGGACCCAGCAGGGAAACAGTGGGCACCTTCCCTCTTGGGTTGTCACTCCCACTGATGAGCATGAGAACCAGGACTGGGGCAGGAATGGCTAGGCAGAGAGTAGTAGCTGTCGGCAGGTGTCGGGGGCTGGATAGAGGGTTGGATAATGGGGTTGAACTAGGCTTCAATGCCCATTAACATGTATGAGAGCTGAAAGGCATGTGGGACAGACTGGACCAATCTGCTATACATCCTGGCAAGCATGGGAACCACAGCACAGGCTGGCCTTGTAGGGGTGATTGCGGGTCACTCTGAATAGGCTGCAGTTTCCACTGACATACGTGAAAGCTGAATGTGTGGTGGGCAGGATTGGGTTGGGCTGCAACACCCACTGGTTTGTTTAGAAGACAGGGCTGGAGGAAGACAGACCCAGCAATTGCATATGCATAAGCTGATTGGGGTGATGGACTGTGACAGACCCTGTGTTGGCAAGCACACAAAGAATCAGGTCTGGGATCACCTCAGATGCAGTTTTTTTGGGATCCCCCCAACTGAATCGTTGGACTCAGAACCTAACCGTGGAAAGAATTGCAGGTTGTGCGGTCTGACCATGGGTTGCATGTGTCAGAGCTAGGCCCTCAGTGGCTTAGAAAGAGCAGTGGACAGCATATCCAGGTGCTGTGTGCTAGACCCTGTGCAAGATGAGGTAGACACAACAGATGAAGAGCAGGGATGCCATCTTGAACAGGGGACATGGGTATGCTTGGAAAAAGGATGGTTTGGGTACTGAGACCACATCAAGAGGATTAATTCTACTAGGCTAGGACTAAAGACTGATACTAGTTGAAGAAGGTTTAGGGAGTGATTAGATTAGTAAAGAGGTGACACATCTCATACTTTCTGTGCATTTTGATTATTAAAGGCAGAAGATGGTTGTGGTAGAACTTGAATGGATGGGGACTCTGAAGGGTCTTCAGCTAGCTCAGAGGCTTAGAAGAAGGTGAATGGATAACCTAAGGATAAATAAGATTTTGCTGGGCTAACCTTGGAGAAGCAATCAGAAGTTTGGTACAATGAGATATTAGTTGTTTAGATGTGTTGGTGCTAAATTTAGATGTCTCACAAACTTTTGGTAACTTTGAGCAAGCTAGGTATATTTTGTGAATCTGTTTCTCTGCTTTTTAAAAATTGGAAAATACATTTCACTCACTGTGAAGACCGAATAAAAGAAATGCTTGTGTTATGTTGTTTAAACGCAATATGTGCATGTAAGCAATTCATCAATATTAACTGAATTTCACAAGATTAAAAATTTAGTATTCAGAAATTAAAATTTACAAAGTTTTTGAACCAAAATGTCCCAACACCTTAAAAAAAGACTAGAGGAACAGTTATTTACAATACAGATAAATAAAGGCAAATTTTAAAAATATATATATTTATTTATTTTACTTCATTTTATTATCAGTTTATCAGTTTCATAGGATTTCCTTTATCCCCTCCCAAATTTCCTCACCCCCTCATTGAGTAGAGATGCATACTGCATTGTATCCTTACCTCCAGATATGAGAATCTCCATTACATAGTTACTATACATTCCCTTAAATGAAAAACAATAAAACAAAATCAACAACAGGAAGAAAAAAAGAAATTAACACCATGAAGTTAAAAACTTGCTACTGAATGACTAATGTGTTGCTGAAGAAATGAAAAAGAAAAAAAGAACCATCTTAAGAAAATAATGCTACTGTATGAACTATGACTCACTGAAGAATTTAATCAGAAAAAAAGTGTTTTGAAGAGATGAAATTAACAAAAATATTCAAAATCCATGAGATTTAATTTCCACGAACCTTTATTGATGAAATGTGTCTCCTGTAGGCAAAAATGGATTTTTTTTTAATTCAGTGTACTAATCTATGATGTTGATTGATGAGTTTAAGCCATTCACATTCAGGGTTGATATGAATGGGTGGTACTTTGGGCCTGTCATTTTAGCCATGGGGTTGTTTATTGATTTAGTCTTCTGTTATTTTACTGGAATGTTCTTCACATTTGCCTTTGGTTTTGATTGTGCTATTCCTCTTCTCTGTCAAGGGAACATCTTTAAGTATCATTTGTAGGGCAGGTTTAGAATAGTCACATTCTTTTAAATTTTCTTTACTTTGGAAGAATTTTATTTCATTTCCAAAGGCAAAGGAAAGCTTTGCTGAGTATGTTATCCTGGGCTGACATTTTTTTGCTTTGAGTATCTAGAATATGTCATTCCATTCTCTTCTTGCCTATAGAGTTTTCTGTTAAAGATCTCCCGTGAATTTAATTGGCATTCCTTTATATGTCAGTTGATTTTTTCATGTGCACATTTAAGGATCATTTCTAAATGTTCAAATGAAGAATGCTTGATAATCATGTGTCTTGGTGAAGATCACTTTTGGTCAAGCCTGTTGGGAGTTCTGTGCCCTTTCTGGATGTTTCCCAATTTTTTCTCTAGATTAGGGAAATTATTTCATTGAGTACATTTTAAAACCCAGCTTCTCTTTCTGCACCTTCTGGGCCTCCCATAACTCTTTGGCCTTTTAATAGTGTCTTGCAATTCTTAATTTTTTTTTTTTTGGCATGATCCAGCTCTGATTCCACTTTTTTGTTTGTTTCCCCCTGGTGACAGGAAATATCTTCTAATTTTGAGATTCTTTCTTCTGCCTCCATTCTATTTTGGAAATTCTCCACTGTACTTTTAATTTGCTCCACTGTATTCTTAATTTCTGATATATCAGCTTTCATTTGATTCATTTTCTGTGTGACATACTCCTTGAATTCCTGCATGACGTGCTTCTCCTTGTTGATAAGAATGCTTGTAACAAGTGTGTTGAATTCTGTATCCCCCATTTTCTCGATGTCTTCCTCAGTGAACTCTGAAACTGGCAACGGGGTTTGCTCCTTTGCAGGGAAGAATTCAGTAATATTCATTTTGCTTT